GTTTTCCCCTTGGGGCCTGTATCTTTCCCCCTGCCCCCACACCCGACCCCTCAGCGCCTCCCACTTGAAGAAAAACAAATCGGTTGTTTAATTTGAACCGAGTCCCCGAGGGAGGAGAATGACCCAGTGACTGGAATCCTGCGGCCGTTCGTCTTTCCGAGCTCCGGGAGTCCTCAGGCGGCGGCGGCGATCCTGCCCCCGGCCTCGGGCACTCCCCTGGGGCGCAGCCCCCTTCCAGTCGCTTCGAATTGTGTTTTTTTCCACCTCGGGACACGTGGGTAGCAACAGCATTGTTCATTCGTCACCTTCGCCTCAGGTCCGACCAATGGCAGCGAGGTCCATTCCGCGGCGGCCGGCCCGAACGACCAATCAGCGCCAGGCACTGTTCAGAGGTAGGGGAGGTAGCACCCCCACTTCCGGGTAGTCTCGGTGCTGCCACCTGGCTTGGAGGTCCTGCCCGACGGTCTCCCAGCTAGGACCCCCTTGCCGGGTGCACTCAGTGCTGCCGCCTGGTTTGGAGGACTTCCTCGGCGGACTCAATGCTGCCGCCCTCCTTGGACGACCTGGCGGGCGGACTCGGTGCTGCCACCCTTCTCAGAGGAGCTGTCAGGCGGTGCAGTACCTTGCCTGTCAGACGTTGGGAGACGCCATTATCATTTGGATCAGAGATAACGAGGTGTAGAGCTGGATGAACACAGCAGGCCAAGCAGCATCAGAGGAGCAGGAAGGCTGACGTTTCGGGCCTAGACCCTTCATCAGAAAAGTTAATACTGCAGTCGGTTTTAGGGAGGGTGTAGCAGTGACTGGGTCTGCTGTGGTTCACATCTCATTCTCCAGCACTAGGCCTGTAATCCTTTAGTCTGTGTGTGTGTTATTCACCTCAAAATGTTCTTACACCCTCTCATCGCCTCAAAATACATGTTCATACTTTTCTGCATGATTTGCAAATGCTGTTGTTTTTGTAACTATAGGAAAGCTGTGAGAAATGTCAAAATTCTGATGTTTTGCTTTTGCTCTGTAAAGACTGTACACAGCTGATTTAGAAACTTTGTATGTACCTACAGATGATTTTTAAAATGAATAAGGTACATTTTTGCAAAAAAAGTCTTGAGAGTTTCTGCCTCGACCATCAGTCAGTTCCAGATTCCCACCACCATAGATGAAAATATTTTCCTCCTTAAATCTTCTCTTAAACCGCCTGTTCCTTTTCTTAAAAACTGTGCCCTCAGTTTCTGATCCCTCGACTAAGGGAAAACATTTCTCCTTACCGATCCTGTGTGTGCCCCTTAAAACTTTGTACACCTCAATCAGATTCCTCTCAGCCCTCTCTGCTCTAAAATGACTGCTTGTCTGTCCTGGTCTCTCTGAATCTCTCCATCCCAGGGAACCTCCTGGTGAATCTCCTCTGCACCCTCTCCAGTGCAATCACATCCTTCCTACAGAGCAGCAACCAGACCTGCACACTACTCCAGCAGTGGCCTAACATTATATACAGCTCCATCATTATCTCCTCACTCTTGTATTTAGTGCCTTGACTAATAAAGGGAAGTATCCTACATACCTTTTGTTGTGGCGCAGTGATAGTGTCCCTGGCTCTGAGCCATGAGTCTGGGGTCCCAATTCTGCCTGCTCCAGAGGTATGCCCTAACAAACCTGAACAGGATGATTAAAAATATTTCCCACATGCCATTCTAGTTGAGAGAATGAAGAGAAGATTTCAATTCTTACTAGAATGGAAGCAAATAGAAGGACTTCAGTGGTGTGGGAAGACCAGAGAAGCTGGGATTTTTAAAAAACGCACAGGATGCTTCATGTGCTCAGCAAGTCAGGCAGTATCTGGAGAAAAACAGTAAATGTTGCATGATGGTAATCTGTACTGTTCCACTTGAAGTTGTACCCTGGGCCAAAAAAATCAGAAAATCACAATTGTTACAATCCAGAAGGAAGTCATTGAGCCCATTGTAACATCCGTCACCTGCTGTCCAAATGAGGAATTCATCTAGTGTTATTCCACCAACCTCTCCACATAACACCACTGTATATCCTTTCTTCTAATGTATCTGTTTATGATTCCCTTTTGAACGCCAAAATTGAAGTTGCCTCCATCATAGTCTTGGAGTGCATTCCAAATCTAAAACTCACTCTGTGAAAACTGTTGTCCTCAGCCTGCTTTTCTTTCTTTTGGTAATTACTTCCAATCAGTGCTGTTTCATTCTCGATCCCTTCATGGTTTTTCACTGTCCACTCTGTCCAGACCCTTCATGATCTTAACGAACTGTATCAAATCTCTTAACCTTCTCTTCCAGGAAAACAATCCCAACATCTATGTCAGTCTTCATAACTGAAATTCCTCAGCCCTGGGACCTGAAGGAACCTTTCTTGTGAATCTCTTCTGCACTCTCTCTCATGCTTTCATATCTTCCCTAAAGTGCTATAGCCAAAACTGAACACAGCATTCCAGTTAAGCATACATCTCTCCCTCCATCCTCCTGTCTACTTCTTGACTGTGACCTGGTGGTGCAGCCCATCATGCCCTATAACCAGCCAGCTTTTTTTCAGTGAAGTCTTGCTGTTAAATTCATCAGGAACTCACAAGAAACTCATAGTTCTTGGTTTTCTGGCTATTCAAACACTCATTTCACAACCCTCTAATAGTATTAGAGCCATAAGTTCACTCTCTCATGCTGTGTGAGTGTTCTCAACATGTTCCTTTCCAATTTCTAGCATCTGCAGGATTTGCTTTTATTTTAATGTATAATATGAGCCCAGGCCAGGTTGCAAATCTATGGTTCTGAGGAAAGGTCACTTGACATGAAGCGTTAACACAGATTTCTCTCCACAGATGCTGCCAAACCTGCTGAGCTTTTCCAGCAATTTCTATTTTTGTTGCAAATCTATGGCAGTTACTGCTAGTTTTCTGTCACGGGAGGGATCTACTTGCATGCCTACTAGGAATTGCCTGCACTAGCATCGTGTAAGATTATTGGAGCTCACAAAGACAACAAATTTTCATCCTGAGATAACAAGGTGTAGAGCTGGATGAACACAGCAGGCCAAGCAGCATCAGAGGAGCAGGAAGGCTGACGTTTCAGGCCTAGACCCTTCTTCAGAAATTTTCATCGTATCTGGTGAACCTTGATGTGAATCCACTCTTCAAAGTGAAAGGACTCTGTTAATGCAGAACACTTTCTGGGTCATCCCAAAAACCATGATATAAATGCAAATCATTGGTGTTGCTAACAAATACTTCTCAGGTTAATTTATAAAAAAAGCGCTGTGGATGCTGGAGATCTGAAACAAACAAAAACAGAAGGTGCTGGAGAAAGCCCACAGGACTCCAAACATTAACATGGTTATCTCTCAGGATGCTGCCAGACCTGCTGAGTTTCTCCAGCAGTTTCTGTCACTGCCGGAGTGTTCAATTGCTAACAAATAGTGCTTGAAAACTTTGACAATAGGTCACACCCAAATAATATCCCTAACCAGGATTACGGGAGGCAGTTAGAATAAAACTCAAGCACTTGCAATATTTTATGGTATCCAGCATACCTCTTCTGACTATGTGAAACAACTGCAGGTCATTACTGGTTCCTACTCTTTCCCAAACTGCCTTAACTTTTCCACATTATCCTTGCTTTTCCTTTGTTCCTATCTTGGTGCTATCTCTGCACCTTCACTACAGGCTTGCAAACCCTTGATAGGCATCAGGATAATTCATTGGTCCTGGCAACTGAGCTGATTTATCAATTTATTTATCTACTTGAGCTGATGCCCAAGGGTGAATTTATTTCTGTTCTTGGATCCCTTTATTCAGGCATGTTGTTACTGTTGAGCACTGCTGTGTTGATTGCACAGGCTTTGGGATGTCCAGTTGCTACATTGAGAGGCAATATGCCAATGCAGGCTGTTTCTTTCTTGCTTTAATTTCCTGTCAATGTCCACTGGTACCATTGAAGAGTATTCAGCGGACATTGAAAGCTGGATTTTATCTGCCAATGGGCAACCATGCCAGAGAGCTAACATCCTGCTTTTCAAACAGAAAGAGATCCAGTTGATTGTAATACCCAGGCCTGATTTATGTCCCAGCAAATTAATTAAAAAGGGTTAAAATCTCATCTGAATTTTTTTTATTACAACAGCCTACTGTGAAGCCTAAATTGAAGAGCTGACCTATAGGTATCCTATAAATTGTTCACAAATTAATTCATTGTCCACTGCTATTTCCCAAATAGATATTGTGCTCGAATCCTGTTGAAAATGAACAACTAGATTATTAGCAACACAGATTCTCCATAATTAACGCAGCATTTCACAATGGCTTTTTCATCACCTGCTTTCCAAATTGCACTTGAGCATTGTTTGGGAATTATAATTCCACATGTTCAGGCAGGTTTTGGCCTTGCTGCAGTCAGTTGAAAGCAGCTAGTGTTCTCTCAGTGAGAGATAGTAAGAACTGCCGATGCTGGAGTCAGAGATAACACAATGTGGAGCTGGAGGAACACAGCAGGCCAGGCAGCATCAGAGGAAAGTATGCAGGCACTGCTCACATCTTTCATGGCCAAGAACATCAGCTTTCACGCTCCTCTGA